AACTCAGTGACCCAAGCCCCATGAACTACAAGAACGAGATGCAAACACCAGCTCCCTTCTGCCTGCTCAGCACTGTGTTCCAGACCCTCCCTTCCCTTCCTTCTTTCTTTCTTTATTTCTTTCTCTCTCTTTCTCTCTCTTTCTTTCTTTCTTTCTTTCTTTTTTTTTTTGGTCTTTTTGAGACAGGGTCTCGCTGTAGCCCCAGCTGTCCTGGAACTCACTGTGTACACTGTGTAGATCAGGCTGGCCTTGAACTCACAAAGATCCCCCTGCCTCTACCTCCCGAGTGCTGAAAAGTCGTGCGCCACCACGCCCGGCCCATGTTTCTCTTTTAAGTGGACTTTTTATATTGAAGGGAGTGGGGAAGAAACATAAGGGAAATATAAAAGCTTTTTGGCAAAGTTCTGCTTTACTTTTTTCTCCTTTCATCTCAATACTTGTAATTTTAATTTCAGGTAATCAATCACAGCTGAGATCAATGGCAGATTCTAGATCCTATTGTGACTGTTGCTCATTAGCTGAGATAGAAAAGCACTCATGAACTTTATCGAGAAACATGATTAAATTTCTGCAGCGAGAGCTCAAATTGTCCTTATAAAATCCGAACCAGGTGTAGCCTACCCCTCAAAGCCTGTGTCAATAGACTGAAGGTCGAAAAGAGGATTCTTATTTTTTTTTTTTTAACGTGGAAAAGTTCTGAAATAATTCCATTGTAGTAAAGCTACTGAAGACGGAGAATCGGATCCTAAAGAAGAATCAAAGAGAGAACTAAAGAAGACTGACTGCTTTATTAAATGGAAGCCCAATGTGTTGATCTCATTTGCTCCTGATCTCCATCCAGCAGCACATGTCCCCCCATCCCCCCAGCAAGGCTTCTCACACTCTGGAAGGAGAACATGTGTAGGAAGATATTTAACCCATCCATCCTTTGCTGTCTTCCTGCCAGTGCTGTTCCCTAGCTGTGGTATGTGTATAGGAATCTGGCTCCACTGCCGCACCCTACAGTCTGCCAGATTTAATATCAGGGCTTGCACTCTCCTCTTGACTGCACTGCCTTCTTGGCATTGTGACTCAGCAGGGCATCTTTATAAATATGTGTTAAGCAAAACTCTTTCTCAATACAGCAAAATACAAGCAGGAAAACATTTGGTTATAAAATCTGGATCATGAGCCCTGCATTCCACCTGAACATTAAAGGGAGGAATATTATGAAAAAGGTTCAGTCAGCTAGAAGAACAAGACAGCTTCTGCTGCACATGCTGAGGGGACTCTCTGTTGCCAAAGGTGAAAACAGCCATATGTTGTTTCTAACGCAAGGCAGTGCTGCCCAAGAATTGGAAATTTTGATGCATGTGTGTTGTGAAAGGCTCCATATTAGAGCAGCAAGAGGAAATGCTGGGAACCTAAGGAACTCTGGAGACAGATTCCATCTCTGAATGCATATGTCATTTACATCAACCTGAAACATGGAAGAGAAAATGGATGCTCTCCTATAAATAGCACTCTCTTTCTTCTTTCTCTCCTATTTAGTTAAAATTAAATTCGTACAAAGGGCATAGCAGGACTTGGAGGATTAAATGAAGGGATGAGAAAATGAAGCAAACAGACTTTAATCAAGATATGGTGGTGGGGTATGTTGGAGAATGAATTCCAATAAAGCAGTTAAGACTTAATGTTAGACAGTAGGGGAAATATGTCAGATATTTAGAATCTAAATGAAATGAAAATGTGTGTAGCTATTCACATCTCCACAATCCTGTTTCAACCTTTGCAGCTTATAAAGCTTTTTCACATTTGAACAAGTTGGCCTCCTGTTGGCTGGTTGGAAAAATATTGTCATTTTATGAATGAATACCTGAGGACCATTGGATGTAACACAATTTTACCATTTCACCCAGGTGTATGCAGATGAGCTGTGATGCAAACGCAGGTCTTCTAAGTCCAACATTTTCTATACCAGATCTCACTAGCTCAGTCAGGCAGGATAAGTCTGTACAGACAAGATGCTTGTGCTATTTTGCTGACTGTTTCAAGGGCTTAGCAAGAATAACAGTAGAAGACCAAGGCCATCCCAGGCTGTGTAGTGGCACTGAAGTGCTCTCAATGTATAAAGCAAGATCAAGTGAATTAACTCTGCCATGAAAATTATTTTGAAGAAAATGTCAGTAAGAAGTTTATTTCACAAATAACCTGTGGTGGATAAAAGACTTAAAATCATTTTAATATGACATGAAATAGATTATGAGCAATGCTGCATTTATAAACAGCAGTCAAACTTCACTTCTGACTAGTAACTCTCCCTCAGCAAAATTCAGTTTATGATAAGTATCAGGCACTAGGAAATTGGTGTGCAGGGAGGACCAGAAAATCCAGTTCTCCTTGGTTTTGGTCTGTTTTCACCGTTGGTATACATTCAGCATTCTGGAAATTCTTTTTAGCATTGAAGTTGAAACTAGGATTGACTTACATGTTTATTGAAATATCCTTCTGTGCTCTGTGGAATGCCATTTTGCATGAACGTGGTTATACACAATGATGAAATATTTGTTCTTTATGCTTATGTATGTGTATTCATGTGTGTGTGTGTGCATATATATGCATGCATTTTGTGTACATGTGTGTAGAGGACAGAAAACAACCTCAGGAGTTCCTTGGGTTCCTAAGGTGCTGTCAACCCTCTAAAATTATTTAGCGTCTCTGAATAGTCTGGAACTTATCAAATAGGCTGCTCTGGCAGCCTGGTGAGTCCTATAGATGTTCCTATCTCTCCCTCCCCAGTGCTGGGATCAGAAATATGTGCACTGTGCCTGGCTTTGTTTTATGTGGCTTCTGGGGATTGAACTTAGGTCCTCATGATTGCAAGGCAAGCACTTTCTTTGCTGAGTTATCTTCACAGCTCGGAGTATATATTTAAACAAAGAGAATCACCTAAGTGGCCAAGTTGTAACATTCTTCCTGATAACTTTTAAAATGTTGCATGTAAATTTAAAATCTCAGTGTTACGTTAAAATATTTTGGGTAGATATAAATTTTGTTGTCTATGTATCCTTAATCTCTCAAATAACTTGAAACAGTCTTTTTCCAATGCGGTTTCATTTTCGTAATATCCCACTTAGAACTCAGACCAACTGTATTATGCTTTTAACACTCCATTAAAATTCTTCTTGTCAAAGACCTCTAATGAGCTCCATTTGGTCAAACACCAAGGTCAGTTTTCATCCTCATCTTATTGGACTCTCAGAAGCTTTAGAAAGTTAATCACTTCCTCATTAAAGCTCAAATCATCTCTCAGCATTTTCTTTCTCCTTTCCTCTCTGTTCATTTACGGCAGCTCATTTTGAAATTTCTTTTGCTGGTTATTTCTAATATCTTCTTTTCTAAATGTTGAGTTCCTGTACTCTAGCCTTTTCCACGTGTTCTCCTGGATGACATGACTTACCCCCTGGTTTTAAATATCATCTTTTAAGATGCAAACATCCTTTTTTGACATGGTCTTTCCCAGCACAGACAATGTTGGGTATCTAGTTAAGTGATCCAAAGGCTTAGAATCCCCTCCCTTTTCACATATTATTAACCCTGCATATTAAATCCACAGCATTGGTTGCCTACTGTATCTCTGAAAGGTGTCTCTATGTGTTCACTCTTTCCTATCTATTCTTTCTCCTCTGTAGTCTCTCCCCAGGGAGAGGGTTCTATGCTTATCTCAGTCAGCTGCAGATCACTCATATCCAGCAGAGATATGACACAACAGTTTACAGTCACAAAAATGATTG